CTGCACCCAGCTCAGCTCAGCCCTGGGGGAGACACACAAAACCCACCCAAGGATGCTGCAACGTCATCCCACGGAGCTGTTTGCACACCCACTCCTGCAGTGCTAACCTGCCACTTCAGCCCACTTTTTAATGTTCTCTTGTGTGCTTTTCCCTAGGGATTTACATAACCCTCTGCCAAGTCCTTCCCACAGGCAGAGGGTTGCACTCCGGAACAGGAAATGTTGTATAGGAATACATTACCTGGTCGGGTTCAGCACCAAAACAGCAGCCCAGCTCCCTCCCTTCTCCCACATTTTTCCTGGTTTGGATGCCATTCACGTACTTGCAGTTTCCTCATCATGTTCTTACCACGTCACCACAGCAGGGACCTTTGTCCTGTCCCCAGAGTGCTGGTGACACAGCAGCTGCCTGCACAGTGTGTCCCTCTCTCCTGGCTCCCTGCATTGCAGTGCTGAGTGTGTGAGGCACTGGGATCACTCCCTGGCACAGCTGGAAACTACCTGCCTCCCTTCCCTGGCAACAGAGAGGAGGGAAATGGGGATTGGAACAAACAGGATGTGATAAACAATGCGGGGTTGTTCCTGATGTGGTTCTTACTACTGAAACAAACATGGAAAATAGAGTTTCAGCCAGCTCCAGGGATTCCAGGCTCACTGCTAGGGACAAGGGCTGGTTGATATAACCACCCCCATGAGAGTTTTCACAAGGAACAACCCAAAGCACAGACTGATGCCTGGAGATGCTGCTGACATGCCCTTTTCAGGGGAAGAGGTGGCACTCACAGGGGCTGGACCACTGCTTCACCAGCACAGGGACAGGGCAGCACTCTGTGTACTGTGCTTTGGTTTATCTCCTGGTACAGCCAGAGCTCCCCAGGGGGCAGATTCCAGGCTGCAAGCATGGAATAGCTTGGCCTGGCTGTGCTCTGCCTGACAAGTGAAATAGCAGCTGAGCCTCTCCCTGTCCCAGGACATGAGGCTCCCTCTGGCTCACCCTGGGTGTGCAGGCTGATCACATGTGGTCATAGACACATCCAACCAGCTTCAAAGGTCAGTCCCGTGCCCACAATCCTGTCTGGGAATGTGGGATCTGCCGGGTGCCTCCAGGACATCAGCTGAATGTCAGCCCACAAAGTGCATGGCCAGGGTGGGCACTCCCAGTCTCAGGGGTGCCAAAACACCTTACAAAACTCGCCTGGAGGCTCCTGGGGCATCTGCACTGCCTGGGAGGTGATGGGGCACCCCAGCACCCCCAAACCAGCATTCTCAGATGTTCCATTCACCCCTGCCCTCGGCACTAGGACAGCCCAGTCGGAGTTTTGGTCTGAGTTATGTAACCTTCCCCACCACTCCTCCTTAAAGAAAAGGATACTTTGACACGTCTTAGTTACAAAAATAACATTTAAAACTTGTCAAGGTTTATTAACTGTAGCACACAGCAATGAGTCACTGAACAGGTAGTAACCACGAGGTTGAAACAGGCTAAGCCATTCCCTCCCGGTGGCGCTGTGCAGTGAAAGACAAAATTTGCAGGATGGGTAGAGACATTAAACAGTGAATTTTAACCCAAGTGACCTGGAAATCACTTCCAAGCATCCTGCATCTGCTCTCACATAATTCCTCTGCCTGTACCTCTCCTTTCCAGGAGCAGACCTGGCATTTCCAGGCTGTGTTCCTGTGTCTACAGGGACACCAAGGACTGATTCTTCATCATAGAGGAGGAACAGCATGACTTTGACATGTGCCAGCACAATCCCTTCCTGCAGTGCTTCAGTGTCACTCCTGGAGTGCACTAAACCCAACAACCCCCACGAGGACACATGGGTTTATGGTGAGGGAGCTGAAGCTGAAGATACAGGCAGTGAGGACAAGCCCAGAGTCTTGGTTTGTGGCTCAACGTCGCAGCACGACATCTGATAAGTGTTTAAAGGCCATCTGTGGCTGCAGGAGGCACCCAGAGATTAGGCCTGGTCTGGGGAACTCTGTACAGTAACTTTCTTCTGCTGCTGAAGAGGATGTGGACCCCCACTGAGACCTCACCAGCATGAGTACCTCAGGTGGTTCTGCTTTCCCAAAGCCTGGAACAAACAAACGATTATTTGCTGCTTCAAACCTCTCCCAGTTTGTCCTTTGCAGAGTTGTGTGTCAGGGCTGGGCTTCGGGGGTGGTGTTTGGTGCATTTGTTTTGATTTTTAACTCGGGGCTTATTGCTATTCCATTGTCATTAGTGCGTAGCAGAAAGAGCTGAGATTTAACGGAACTGAAATTCTTTGGAACCTCAGCAATGGGCTGTGTGTTGTGGCTGATGTACTTTCACAATCCCTTTCTTTCCAGTTTTTCCAGTATGGCCTGAATTCTGTGGACGGACTCTTTCCTGGCCTGCCGGACACTGTCCTGGCCCCCAGTCTCGATGGAATCCAGCTCCAGCAGCAGCTTGGTCAACATCTCCTCCAGAAGCGGATTTATCT